CGTATTCGTATCCGAGGAAATATCAGTAACCATATCCGTTGATACGGTTACTCAAACCTATAAACGATAGGACATGGTAATGTATATGATTTTATAGTGAGATATCTGGATTTGTATCCAAAATATCTAAATGTATGTTGGTGATACTGCTGCAAAAGTTTTCATCTGTAGATTAATGGATTTGATGCTAATTTTGATGATCAAGATGTCTAATCTTAGCTTTTCATAAATAATGAACATATTAATGAGCTCTTTTGTATCACCTGAACTATATATACCTTTTTAATATTATCTAGTTTTATTATATCAATTTTGCATATGCATCATATCCGCTTATATATCCGCAAATATATCGTATCCGTATCCGATTTTAGTGGATATGGATATGAATTGTTCTCACCGAGGTATATCCGTATCAATGATGAGTAAGCAGATATGGATATGGTAAGTGTCATATCCGAGCCGTATCCGGACTAAATGCATCCTTACACACGTAACATAGTTGTCATAATTCTGACTAAAAATTATCAAAGTATTTTTGGCTAGTTTATAATATTTTACCTATATTACGTTAATTTTCAAATCAAGTTTCTTAGGAGCCTAAATGTTCTTTATTTAAAACCTTTTTGAAGATGTAAGGGCTAAATAGAAAATTGTTTGTTTTTGCTAATGTTTAACCTTAGATGTAAATTTTAAAAAATATCAAATCGAAATTATATCAATATCAAAGTACATATATAGTCTTCCCGTTGAACCAAATCTACATTTGACTTGAAATTCCTTTTATCTATTTGTGTCTGGTGTGTATGTGAGTGCATATGTACAGAGATAATAGACTTAAATATTCAAATTTCTGTTCATAAAATAACTTAGATAAATTACACTTAAGTGCCCTATTATTGCCCAATATTGCACAAAAATACCCTATGTTTAGAACCCTACACTTAAATACCCTAAAGTTTCCAAAAATTTGCATTTTAGCACCCTAATTAGGGTACTAATTTGCAACTTTAGAAACTTTAGGTATTTAAATGTAGGATTTTAAACTTGGGGTATTTTTGAGCAATATGGGGCAGACAATAGGGTATACCCAATAGCTTATAGAAAATCAATTGCTATATAACCTATTAGTACAAGTGTGGGAATTAAATAGTTGTACCATCCAACTATATTTTCTTTTATCTTCACAGATTTAGTTTAAAGAGCTGACTAGTACGCAATTTTGCATAGTAGTGGTTCTAATTTTTCGCAACTTATCTTCTTTATGTTAGGCGGCGGCGGCAATCATTTTGAAGAGCTTGGACGGGCAGCTGGAGTTATCGTCATCGACAGCGGAAATAGTGGCTAAGCAGTCGTTTGAGATATGGCACATGCTGAAGATGAATGAAAAAATTGTGAAAATTCCTGTTGGAAAGAAGATTCTTCGTATGGCAATCATCTACTGCAAGAAACATGGCGAGGCCAAGAGTTTTGCTTTTGATTATTTCGTTGACGACTGTGGACATTTTTGTCCGGGTGACCACCCTGAAGAGTTTATCGCTAATTTAACCATCGATGAGGGTTTTGAACAGTGGGATTCTGAGATGTTACTGAAGAACGCTGACAAAGCAACAATTTTTGAGCTCGTAACAGTACGTACACTACATACATTATTATATTGTTGTTATTGTCGTGCTAATGCTGAAATCATGGATTTGATTAGTTTCTGATTTGCATGGTTTATTATATTGTTGTTATTGTCGTGCTAATGCTGAAATCATGGATTTGATTAGTTTCTGATTTGCATGGTTTATCATAGTATGTCTCCTCTCGTGCTAATGCTGAAATCATGGATTTGATTAGTTTCTGATTTGCATGGTTTATCATAGTATGTCTCCTCGTAGGCAACTTTCCTTATGGTATTTTGCTTTGCAAATGTTGCAGAATTGAAGGACTTAAATTCTGCTATGATGTACGTGAATGGTATAATAACAAGTTTACAGGGAAAAAGAAGGAATGAACTGGTTGAACTTTTCGATATGTCTAACAACTAAGAAAAATGATTGAGACAAGCTTAGTGGTATAACCATGTCCTAATTCGATCAACATTCACATCTTTTCTTTCAATTTTGACTGTAAAGAAAGATAGACGCACTGGGAAAGTACATATTAGACAATGAAGTGATGTCATATGGTCCCTATTCTATTGTTTGTCATTGAAGATCACTATTATGTGCAAAGTTGGAAGAGAGAGGTCGTTGGCATACCTTTGTAAACCAACTGCTGTCTTGATATTGGTGTAGCAGCCTATCTAGGAGGGGATGCTTTGGCTTTAATTCTGGTGGAGAATGTCTATGATGAGATAATTATTATACCTTTTGAATAGGAAGCACAATATAGTCTCTCTCTCTCTCTCTCTCTCTCTCTCTCACGCACGCTCGCGCGCATGCACGCAAAGGAAATGGAATGACAATATTAGCTTATCGACAAAGAAAGAATGCCCACCAAGTCTAGATAAAAGTTTGTTCCCTTTGTAGAGTTCACAAGTGTTGGAGTTTTTATGTGAGAACAACCAAAAAACAAAAAAAGAAAAAGAAAAGAAAACAGAGGAAAAAACGGACACACACAAAACTCACTCCAAAAGAAACCAAAAGCAAAGAAACTAGTGAGTGTTGGGAGTTTTCATGGTATACATAATCGGAGCATAAATCGATGGCATAGTACATTTCAACAGTTCCAGGTTTGATAAAGCCAGCGGTCCCAAAAGTGCTCGAGTTTTCTCATTTATTTTTTGTAGCTTAGCAAATGCAAATTCGCATATGAAAATTAGTTTCTATCCATTAACAAAAGGACACAATCAGATAGCATCACTGTGAAAATACTATATACAACATGCATAGTTGTAATCCCTCTAGGAAGTTCACCAGAAGGTGGTATATACCTGCCAACAGTTTTTTTGTTCTTCAAATTTTTACCACCGCTTATAAGCTTTACATCACTTCCTTCAGTAGTAACTCTTCATCTATGGACAACTGACAGTGTAATTATCAAATTATATACATTGTGTGAGGATTTCAAGTGCTACAGCAGTTATGAAAAATAATTCTCGATATGTTGGCCAAAATGTGCGTCAAGACTGAAATGTATAGGAAAAATAGAACTTCAAAAGATGTCAACAGTTTGACAGGAGTACCATGCATAGACTACATCAGAAAAATCTTATTATCTGAGTTGCTGATGAATACATCAGACAAATAATTTAGGTTCCTTTGATAGCATAACAAAAATTTTCAACAAAGAGAATCCTGCAGTATATGATCAGAGCTCTTAATAATTCAGTTGAAGTATTTAAGACAATTTCATTCGTGATAATGGTTAAATCCCCTCCTGCAAAGTGTGAACTTTTATGTTTGTTCCCAGTATGTAAGTATGAATTATCTTGTTCAAATGTTGCTTTCACATGGATAGTGAAAACATTCCCTATCAAAAGGCACAAAAACTTATTAGACAATATCACTTTAGGACGTAAATGTGAATTTTCTTATATGAAGTGATACACAGGTATATGCGTTAGGGAAATATTTATGCTATTTCTCTGGTGGTCATTGACCAAATTACAGGAAGCAAACTAATAGCATAAACCTTCACGTATTTATAGTAAATTATTTGAATATCCCCCTTTATTTTAAGCATGGACACCGGCATGAGACAAACTTGACTTTAACACAGATATGCGGAATGTCACTACCTCAGTAAGTTGGAGAAGATGCTAATGCGACGCGTAAAGATGAATAGTAAGAGAGTTCAAATATACACATATGTAGATATGGCACTGTTTCTGAAACTCCACCACATATTTGATAATAAATTGACACATTTTTTGACAACACATTGACATATAATGATTGCATTTATGCTAAGATTCTAACCTGTCAAACATTTCTAACTTTGCAAGAGGGATATGCCTTGGCTCCTTAATTTTTTAAAGGTTTACTATACGTAGTGCATGACCAACTTACATTGCTAATATTTGATGTCCGATTGTTCTTTTCATGTATTTTAGTGGAGTAGTGATAGAGAGATTGCTGCCAACTTGAAGAAATTTTGTGCAAGAGTATTCGTAAACATTGTTATATGCGAAATCTTCGGAAAGTGATAATATGAGTAACTGGCCTAAGACCTGATTAAATTTTGTAAGCTGTAGAAACAGTGAAGAAACGTAGGAACTTACGGTCTTTATAGGTTCTCCTGCTGTAATGTTTACTGTGTTCAAGGATATTTCTTGGAAGAATATTGGTACTGAATCTTTAATCTTGACATCTATTTTATCCTAATTAAGATGTTCTCTTTGGTTATGTCAGGCAGCAGAGCATCTGTCCATTCAAGGGCTGTGGGATCTGGTTGGCAGAGCTGCATTGGACATGGTAATTTGGAAGAGTAGAGAGGAGATTTGTGAGAAATTCCATCTCAAATTCGACTTTACACAAGAAGAACTAGAAGAAGCTGATGAGGAGAACGAATCAATGGGGGGCGTATCAATGAGGAAGGTTAATATGGATGGTTTACGTGATATGGCTGATTACCGCACAAGTTCACTATCCTAAATATTCACTCTCTGGGTTGTTTGTTAACAAATATATTATGACATGCATATTCCTCCTTGAAGGATAGGTGTATGTTCAAAGCAAGTCTTGTGACGACCATACTTTGAACGATATCAGTTGCTTTAGGGCTTTTTGTTTTTAGGTCCATTTGTTTACCTAGCTTTATCTTTCAACCCAAGTATTATTAGTTGTATCTTTAAACCCAACTTCTTTTTTTATTATCTTTAAACCCAATTTCCTTATATAGGGGGACCCACATATGAGAGTATTATATTTTGGAATTAGGTTTCCTGGGACGTCTGGTGCTGTTGTATACGTTCTGCTAAGTGCTCTGTCGTATACATTCTTCTAAGAGCAATGAATTGATGATGATCTATTTGTACTCTTCCTGCTGCAATGGGTAATCGTCAGCTTGATATTTGTTCCTGTCGTTTGTTTACTTTTTACAGTATAATAATTTTCACTTAGGGGCTGTTTGGTTCGCTTAAATAGCCCGTGGAAATGCATTTCTGCGCCTGACACCACCGCCACCTCAGATTTTTTGTTTCCGCTCATTTTTTTTCCTTGCTTTGGTTCGCTGGGGTTGAAGGGAGAGAAACGGGGTGAAAACGCCGCCAACTCAGACTTTTTTCTCTCCTCGATTTCCTTCCCCAACCAAGAGAAATCGATGAAAAAACTGGCCAGCTCTGACAATCGCTCTCTCCTTTCTCTCCTTGATTTCTTTGGGACGCTGCGGTTACCTCCTTGCTCTCCTCCCGCCAGAAATCTCTCGTTGATTTCTCTCGTCGGCTTCGACGCTAAAATTGACTCCATTTGCTCTCCTCCCGCCAGAAATCTCTCGTTGATTTCTCTCGTCGGCTTCGACGCTAAAATTGACTCCATTGCCTTTCTCTCCTCTATCAGATTCATCTCCGGAGTTCCAATGAGATGGGGATGCCGGAGCGGAGCAAGACCGTAGGGGTGGCGGCGCTTTCGAAGTTTGAGGTTCGATCTGTTCGTCTTTCCTTTTCTAGGTTTCGATGGGTTTTTTTTCTCAGAAATTTGGGGGATTTTTGTTGTTTTTGGGCTCTCAAAGCTCTCAGCTTTCTCTCTCTCTCTCTCTCTCTCTCTCTCTCTCTCTCTCTCTCTCTCTCTAACTCCAATGGATCCCAAAGACAACAACAACAACAACAAGGCCTCGATCTCGTCGGAGCTCCAAATTGTCGCCGCCTCCGACGATCCTCACCGCAAAACCCTAGCCCTCAAGCGGACCTTGAACAAAGATCGCCCCCAAAGACACCATCTACTTGCAACTCTGCATTAGATTGTTAGAGTGAAATGGACAATGGATTCACATCCAAAACAAGTGTGCAAAGTGTTTTTTTTTAACTTGTTGCAAGTGATAATGGTCTGCTGATTCTTTCGGTCACTAGCAATTAAATTAAAGAATGATGACAAAATAGACACACTTAGAAATATTAAAGCATTCCTTCAACTTTGGAATGATCGGAACACATCACCCTAGCTTGACCGACTTTTCTGTACCCAATTTTCATGAACTGGGGTTGTTGTTGGCTGGTGTTGATGCCTGATGTTGATGTCTGTTGGTGGTGTTGATGCCAATTGGTGTTGTTGATGCCTGTTGGTTTTTTTCTGCTGGGTTGTTGTTGCCTGTTGGTGTTTTTGGCTGCATTCTTGATTTTGTTGGCTGGTTGGTGCATCATTTTAATTGTTGGGTAAATGATGCTTTTGTGCTTGTTTTGGGGATTTCTGGTTGTGCTTGTTTCGGCTGGATTTGATTTGGATGATATTGTTTACAGGTGTTCAAATTAGGCGCTATGACGCTTTTCAATTTATCTGAGATTAACAACTTGCAGTATCTATTGATATTGCACTGGAGGCTAACAATGATGATATTTTTGTACATTGTCATGCATTTCCCTATATCTAGGAAACGAACCAAACAGCCCCTTAGGCTATGATGATTGTTAAAATTTCTGAGATTAGCCACCTGCAATATCTATTGATATTTGCACTGGAGGCTAACAATGATTATATTGACCCAGTTCTGAGCCCTCATCCATAATCAATAACCAGCTGCTGATTACTTGATATTGTTGGTTGGTACTTGATGTTGTTGGTGTGCGCATGTTGGTTAATTTTGTTGGATAATGGGTATTTTGTGCTCGACTTTTTGTGCACACATGTTGGTTCTATATGCTGTTATTTGGGTATTTTGTGCTTGGTTTTTGTGTGCATATGTTGGTTCTATATGTTGGTTGGCAAGCTCTCTATGGCTATGATGCAGCAAAGACGACAAATCCCCCTACAAGGACTCGCAATTGTTGGCCAAAGTGTTGTTGTTGTTGCTGCTGTTCTAGAAGCAAGAAAAAAAGTATACAAAGAATAAGAAGGGAAGATATGGACCTCTTATGCTTTCTTCTCCTTTTAGTTTATTATTTTTCATTTTGATTCACTTGGCATTATGGTTTATCATATAAATGTAGGTTATTTGAGATGCTAGTCACCTTTCTGGTTATTGGTGCTGCAGTTGGGTTGGGCAAGACTGCACATTGTTAGAGGAGGTATGTGGGTGGATAAACGAGAAAGCTACTGTACCTGTTTGGGCTAGGATGACTCCAAATATAACAGATATTACACAGGTTAGTCCTTTGTATCTTGTGCACTTCATATGAGCATCTCATGTATCATTTAATTTAGTTGATAGAAAAAGACATGGTGATGTTGAGTTTTTTACTTGTTGCATATTCTGACCTTAATCTGTTCAATTGAAATTCTCAAGCATTGACAAAAAATCTTCAGTAATTGGTGTTAATTTGGTTAAAGCATACATAGAAGACTGTTAGAGAAGAATAAACTAGAGTGGCTTTGAAATCAGGATGTGAAGGAATTGCAGCCATTAACACAATTATGAGTGTAATGGGTATTGATTTGAATACATTACGTCCTGAACCTTGTGTTCGAGAGAAACTTCAACGTGATATTGAGGCCCATGCTGTTTCTGTCCGCAGTACGAAGTTGTCTGAGTTGTCAGCTGACTGTGAGGTTCGTACAAACCTTCTTTTGAAAATAATTTCAAATTTTCAATCTTTATCTTCTTAATCTATTTGATTGCTTCATACGTATCTATCTTCAAGAAAACTCTCCCCAGAATTGGCATATTGACAGGCTAATACTCCAGTAGTTATGATTAGTTTATGACAGCAGTGTGTTTCTTTGCAGAAACAACTAACAGAAGCCCTTTCTGAACCTGTGGAATCCTTGTTTTATGCTTCTGGGATTGATGCTTGGACATCAATCACAAGGCTTTATCAACAAGAAATGCAGAAGGCTCTATTGGGGCTCGCAATTTCTCTTTCTGGCTTCGAACTGGACCAAGTATTTTTCAATGAGATACTTGGAAATCTCAAGGACTATGCAAGGAACGTGGTGGAAAAGAAATCTAGGGAAGAAGCATCAAAGGTTTTGATTCGTATGAAGGACAGGTAGCTGGCCTGTTATCTGGATTTCTCCATTATCATGTTTGTTTCTGTCACTTCCCAGTCTTCATCTCTATGCTATCTTCAGTGTAAAACCCCGAAATTTTATAATAAATTTGTGTGAATAAATAGTAATAAATCTTTCTTTTGTGATAAATAACCATATATATATATCAGATGAATGTAATTATCTGTGTTTGAGAACCCAGCAGGTGTGTATAGGTGAGAGAAATCGAGTGATAATGTCCAGCATGTAAAATGCCTAGCAGCAGGCATTTTACAGTTGTGCGGTCGACCGACGCGGTCGACCGCGTCGGTCGACCGTGGCGGTCGACCGCGTCGGTCGACCGCACAGCGGTCAGAGAGTTTCCAGGTTTGTTTTCTTTTACGGTTTTTGTGTTGGTCTTATTGGGTTTCGGGTCGGGTTAGGGCATTAGTATATATACTAACTCAACCCAGGAGAGCCTCTCTTCACCTGAGACCTAAAACCCTAGCCCCTGTCTCTCTCCTCTCTAAACCCTAGCTGGATCTGGCGATTGTGAGGAGTTCAGAGGATTTTCAGTGGATTTTCGCAGGATAGATCGAAGGAGGATCATCTTCAGGGCTTTTGTCAGCATCTAAGGTGAGTATCATCTCGCCCAATCCCTCACCCCTGTTTTCTATGGTTTTCTCTTGGATTTTTTATGAGTTTTGATGAGCCAAAATGGTATTTTTGTATAACAATGAACTCTCTATAATATGGTTAATAAAAATAAAAGATTTCAGTTTATAAAAGTTCACCAACATTCTGTTTAATAAAGGTTTAGACCTGAAATTTGCTTAAACAAGAGTTGAATCACGTTTACCGTTATTAAAACGTTTTAAATCTTGTTTCTCTTGTAATTAGAATGTTGGGAATATAGTTCTCACGCTTAAAAATTATTTTTTTTCTTCAGTATGATTTATAGAGACATTAGATCTGTATTATCGTAGAAATATAAAAGAATTTCATTTCAGGTTTTTAGCTGACAGAAACCCAAATTTGGGTTTCTGTTCGCTTGGCGGTCGACCGGTGCGGTCGACCGCTGGGCTCGCTGTAGGGGCAGAAACAGCCTGCGGTCGACCGCGACGTTCTGCCGGTCGACCGAAATGCCTAGCGGTCGACCGCCAGGCTCGTATCAGAGTTCGGTCGACCGACACACTGTCTGTTGTATTTTTCCTGTTCTGTGTATTTTTCTCATATTTGAGATTTTGCCTGGATCATCTGACTCTGGTTTTTAGTCTTATTATGTATCCATGCATGATAGATGACCTGAGGGTACCAATTGTGGATATACACACTGATTTGAGTGGGGATTGATATAATTAGAATTCAGTATATGTCACAGTGATATTTTTCACCTTTTCACAGTCCTCGTGTTGGACTATAATCCATAGAAGTCCTCGTGCTGGATTATAATCTATTTCAGTCCTCGTGTTGGACATTTGCCACTTATTCCATGAGTTTGGAAACTATAATATATAGTCCCTGTTTCGGACATAGTTCTTAACCCTGCATATGATTTTCTCACAGCAGTTCACGACATGGTAATTATGGGGATTTTGATATGACACTTATGTAGATTTTAACATGATATTCATGTAGGCTATGATATAGCACTGCACTTATGCTCTGAGATTAGTTGTATTTCTTTTATTATTGTTCCAGTATTAGAACCTCGGGTTTGGTGATTAGGGGTTTACAATTTGAGATATAAGGTATATACATGAGGGTTTCCTTGTTTGGATTATTTCGCTCGACGTACCTATTCTCGTGTTGTAAATTTCTAATTACTCAGACCCTCTTTAGTGAAATCAATGATTTTAGATCTCTTATATATATTAACTGTATTTTCTTATACAACGAGCCTTGTTCCATTGGGGTTGGTTGTGATGTTACTCGCTAGCGCTTTGACGCTCGTTGTCCCTCCCCCTTTCAGGTAACGAGCTAGGAGCCTGGAGAGTCGCAGGTTGATGGGGATGCATTATAGCCTCAGCCGTCTATTTAGTTATATTTTTTTTAGGGTTCCACAGTAGATTTTTGTTTAGACATTTGAGAGTCTTGATCTAGAAGTTGTAAAGGTTGTGTGCCTTATTTCCTTTTTGTCAGATATTTGTATTTGAGACTTGTTGAGTATTCCAGTTTATCTACTCAGATCTTGACTATGTATTTCTGTATTGATGGATGATGAGATATTTATGTGACTATTATCGTTTCATCAGTATTTCTTGTATTATCTTTTACCTGTTTTGTACCTACACCAGTTGTTGACTCTACTAGATAGATGTTAATTGTGATGGTGAAACATGTTATTGCACGGTGTGGTGCATGGCAGGTTTGACATTCTTGGTTTCACCTTGGACTGCAGCCTTGTGTGAACCCAGGGGCGTCACATTCAGGTTCTCAACAGTTTTTAGTCATGATAAAGACTCTATGCCCTCCCGTCCTCTTTTAGTAAGTTGCTATGATTTCAATACAATAATTAAAACTTCTACTTTCTTAGATCATTTACTTATAACCTTGTCCAAAACCTACCTTTTTTCCTAGGGAAAAGTCGATACTGCAAAGAAAAAAAATCAAGTAACGCAAAACAAACCAAAAAGCTGAAAGCTGAAACCGACTCTCATAATATAAAGAACATGTTCCAGAGAGTCACTAGGAGGAGAAACTGAATGAAGATGCACGAGGGAAGCTGTATGTTATTGTTCTGATACTTGTTTTAAGATGTTATTTTCTCAGTGGGGTGACTTGGAGCTCTTCCCTTCATTGCTGTAAATTTCCTTATCTTGGACTAATTGAGGTATGTTATTCATTATAGCTGTAATCTGGCTTGAGAGCTTTTAATCGCTAATTGAAGTATGTTATTCTCTATATCTGTTAATTGCTATTTGTGCTCGTCGTCGAGCTCCTGTGGCTGTTTTTTGTTACTATGATGATTCGAGCTTGTTTAGCTCTATGTTGTTAGGTGTTTGGTTGCTATTTGTGCTCGTCGTCGAGCTCTCGTGGCTGTTTTTTGTTACTATGATGATATTGACCAGATTCTGAGCCCCCAGCCATTACGTACATGTTTGGTATTTACAGGTTTGATACGATTTGCTATAGTATATACATATATATGGCTAATCAGGTTGTTTATATGTTTTTTATAGGTTTGATAAGATTATCTGGTTAATTCAGGTACATATTTCATAAAATTATGAATAATTAGGGTATTACAGGTCTCTTTTATTTTTTTTCTTCGAAAACAGGTTTCGTGTGATTTTTTTTTATCTCAAACAGGTATATTTCAGGTCAAATCAGATACACAGTTTTTTTGCACATATAGTTCATCAACATGCATAAATTATCAGATTTGATGTCATTTGCTATGTTATATTTTTTGCACATATAGTTCATCAACATGCATAAATTATCAGATTTGATGTCATTTGCTATGTTATATACATATTTATGACTATTCAGGTTGTTTATTTGATGTCATTTGCTATGTTATATACATATTTATGACTATTCAGGTTGTTTATATGTTTTAATAGGTTTTAGTAGATTTTTTGGGTAATTCAGGTATGTACTACGCAAATTTTACAATAATCAGATTATTACAGGATTCGTGTGATTTTTTTAATCTCAAACAGGAACATTTGAACTTTTATATGATTAAGATTACCTCATATTACAAGCACAAAAAAATTTGTATATAGTGGGGGTAATCTTACCATGGTGACTATAAACACTTTTCCTTACAAACTTCAAAACCAACCAAACACAAGAAAAGTGGGAAATGTCATATTAACAAAAGTTTTTCCTTTTTTTTCTATGCGAACCAAACACAAGAAAAGTAAATACATTGGTTTCCCACCATTTTTATGTGCGAACCAAAGCGAAACAATCAATTTCTTGGAAAAGTTTGGAAAACTAAAAACTTGTGTTTTTTTATGTGCGAACCAAAGCGAAACAATCAATTTCTTGGAAAAGTTTGGAAAACTAAAAACTTGTGTTTCTTTACATGGAATTGCATTTCCCTATATCTAGGAAACGAACCAAACAGCCCCTCATACAACAACATCAACAATAAAGTCTTTTCTAAGTATTTGGGTTCGGTTATATAATCTTCCGTTCATTTCTGCTGTGGGTTATGCCCTCAATTAAGTGTGCTATTACTTTAACACGCCATTTTCTTGGAGTGACCCGAGTTTGGATCTTATAATGGCAGTTTACAACAGAGAATTCTTGCGGGCCCCGAGTCAGGCTACGATTTTATAAGGGGGGAAACGTAGTTGAATACTGTATGATTGGGTGTTTTCAGTTAGATTGACGGATCTCATGTTGTTATAGGCTTAATGAAATCAAATAGAAATGCATTAAGCACTTGTAGAGATCGATTAGTTACCTGGTTCAACGATTCCTTGTTGCACTTGCGATGGACACCTGTTAACCGCAATGTACGGTACTAGTTACAAATCTGCGAGACGTGTGTTTATGGTTATATAGAGGTGCTACGAGAAGAAAATCATACTCCCCTCAAAGTGAGAAATCTTCTCATGGTTAATATTACATTGTTATCCTAATCTATCCTAATTATCCTATTTTCTTTGAATTGGTAATTAAATAATTTTTTCTTTCCATAATGAGACTTAGTATGTTATTGGATAAAGGAGATACGTTTGATATAATTCAAATCCTTTACTTATTTCAGTTCACAGAGAAATCTAAAAAACATAGGTTAGCCAACACAAGTTTTTGCACTTTGCAAAAAAAACCCTCCAAGTTTTTTAAATTGTAAAAACACCCCTACAAATTTAAAACTTAAAAAATATCTTGAAAATTATAAATTTTACTTATTTCAATTCACTGAGAAATCTGAAAAAATATATGCTAGCTAGAAAAAGTTTTTTGACTTTGGAGAAAATATCTTGTATGTTTTAAAATTACAAAAACACCCCTAACAATTTAAAATTTATAAAAAAACTTGAAATTTTTAAACCTATAAA